AAAGTAGTCTCATTAAAAAAAAAAAAGTGTAACGTGGGATACCAGAATAAAAATAAAAAAAATAACAAAAATTGTTTGTTCAAAAGGCTAATATAGAAGACAGATAAGACCCTAAAGGAGAACAGAAATAATAAATCATGTGATGGTGGATGAAGCAGGCAGGTTTTTTGAGAGGACAATCAAGTCAAAGAATGCCATTTCCAGGCAAGTTAAAATGGGGATTAATCTAGGGTTTGCCACATAGAGCATAGCTGCTCCCCGATGCGTCACAAAGCATTCAAGTAAAGTTTGCAACAGATCAGTTTACTATTGCTTACCTTCTTATCAGCTCCCCTCTACTTCTCCCGATTGCTTTCAGCAGAGAAATGGTGTTTATCAATCTCTGTACATTGTCTTTCTATCTATAGATTTATTCTTTCATGTGCTTGTCTATATATCTATGCTTACTGCTTACCAGCGCCATAGCCTCCAAGAGATGCAGTGACCTTGAAGTAAGGTCAGTGACATCTGAACTAAAAAGTTACGTGGTTTTTAGGGGCCTCATTTTCTTGTAGGACCCTCCAGACTTACCTTAGGAGTCATACCTTGAGCCTTATCCAAGTATGCACATAGACTTATGTATCTGTGTTTGGAAGAGAAGAAAATGGCTGAGAAAGTGCAAGAATTGAAATTTTCTTGGCTTTAAAGCTAGAGTGTTGATCCCCTCTTCAACACTCTTCTTGCATATCACAGTTTCTGCTACACAGTATAAGACAGACTTAGATGATCAATTTGCATATAAATATGTGGTCCAAGGAAGAGGAGTGTGCAACACTTGGCTTGCTGACTCAATACCATGAATACCCACAAGAGTATATTTGGGTTCAATATCATATTTTTCGTATCCATTTTTATTCTTCTTAATGAATGTTTAAAATGCAGCAGCTTTGGTGTTATGGATGGTGACCAATGGGATACAACAGTGGAGGAAGTAGACAATCATTTGCCATCTTCCAGCTCAAGTCAAGGGTAACCATAAGCAAGGACTGTATTTCATTTAATTTTCTGTAAAATGAGATTGTTACGTTTATTACTCTGATTATTCAAATGTTCAGGGCCTATGAGTTGAATGGTGTGGGAGAAGATGAATGGCAAATGGTGGCCAGAAAAGGAAACCAGTTTGTGATCAATGACCAACCTTTCTATGTCAACGGATTTAACACTTACTGGTTGATGGTTTTTGCTGCTGATCAATCTACAAGAGGAAAAATCACTGAGGTTTTCCAACAAGCATCCTCAGTTGGTCTAACAGTTTGTAGGACTTGGGCTTTTAATGATGGCCAATGGAGAGCTCTTCAGAAATCTCCTGGTGTTTATGATGAAGATGTTTTCAAGGTACTGTTGCCTAGTTTTTGGGCTTATAACAGAAGCAACCTCGCTAGGCCACTGATAGCTAGGCTGCCAAAGTTATTTTAATTTGCGTTCTTCACGTCTCATGATTTTTTTTTTTTTTTTTTTTTTTTTGAGCTGGCCTTGGATTTTGTGGTGAGTGAAGCAAAGAAGTACAAGATCAGGCTCATATTATCGTTGACTAACAACTGGGATGCATATGGTGGAAAAGCACAGTATGTTAAATGGGGAAAAGCTACTGGCCTTAATTTGACATCTGATGATGATTTCTTCTCTCATCCAACACTCAGAAGCTACTATAAGGCTCATGTCAAGGCAACTTTCATACTGCTGTCCCTTTTTTGTGCACTCAGACATCGAACTCGGAAAATAATCCATCGACATTTGGTCTTACAGTTTCTTTATTCATTGAATGCAGGCGGTACTGAATAGAGTCAATACACTCACGAACATAACCTACAAGGATGACCCTACAATATTTGCCTGGGAGTTGATGAATGAACCTCGGTGCACCTCAGATCCCTCTGGTGATAAACTGCAGGTTTGTTGTTCATCAACACTTGATTTTACATTAATCCTATACAAGATATTCTGATAGCTGGTAGTGCTTTGTGCCATCATTTTCTAAAGCAATTGAATGTTATTGTTTTTTTATAGTCATGGATAACAGACATGGCAGTATATGTGAAGAGCATGGATGCAAAGCACTTGGTAGAGATTGGTTTGGAGGGATTTTACGGTCCATCGGCACCTGATAGGGCCCAGTTCAATCCGAATTCATATGCTACACAAGTTGGAACTGACTTTATCAGGAACCATCAGGTTCTTGGTGTTGATTTTGCTTCTGTTCACATTTATGCAGACTCCTGGTAAGTACTCACTGCATCAACAATGACCAAAAACTGGCAGATTAAATTGTGCACTATTTCTGAGCGCATCATTGTTTGGATTGTGGCCTCTTTAACTTTAGATGCAAATTACCTTTTCTCATTTAGGATCTAAACAAATAATTAAATCTATTGATCAAGGATTTCGCAAACAATCTCGGATTCTCATATCCAATTCATCAAGTCATGGATGGAAGCTCACATAGAGGATGCTGAGAGATATCTGGGAATGCCAGTTGTGTTCGCGGAGTTTGGTGTTTCTTCAAAAGACCCTGGTTACAACTCATCATTCCGTGACACGATGATTAACACAGTGTACAAGACCCTCTTGAACTCAACCAAGAGAGGTGGGAGTGGAGCTGGGAGTCTTCTGTGGCAGATTTTCCCTGATGGGACTGACTACATGGATGATGGATACGCGATTGTTCTATCAAAATCTCCTTCCACGTCAAACATCATTTCCCTCCATTCAGCACGAGTCGCAATCTTCAATTCCATGTGTTCGTGGAAATGCAAATGGGGCTGCAAGAAGAAGAATCCTTTAGAGGCCTTCTTCTACCATGATGATTTGTAAAAGTACCTAAACACTCACAACAGAAAAGGGAAGAAGTACAGTAGTCATGATAACACCCTTGTTTTATAGTACCTCCAAAAACATTAATGTTGGCGCTGTTAAATAAAGTGAATGGCTTTAAGAAAGAAATTTGTATTTCACAAGCTGTTATTGTATTATCTGCCAGACAATTTTACGTCTTCCACCGTTGGTTTTTCAGTTCAAATTGTCTGTTACAAAGACCTTCCTTGCCATTCCTTGTATTAGGCATCCACTTCCTCCAATTCTAGTAACTAGTATCAAGAACATATTCTGGCTTTCATTCTGCAACATCTAAAGCTTAAAACAGATCAAGAACCAACAAACCATTCCACATGTTAACATTCGTTAATCTGCGGCGTCTAAAACATGAAAAATATTACCCATGGTAGGATCGCTCGTGAAGATCATCTGTCTTCTTTGGTTGGTTAAAAGAGAGACTTGGAAGGAGGATTCTGTATGGAATTGCTGTCACTACCATGTGCCACGTTGGCAGTGAATTCATCATATAGGCATGCATGGGACTGCATAATGGTTTGGATGAAGTTCGTCAGGTTCTGGCCTGGTTTTTCGGTGCTGGATATGCCGACCCTCTTTCCGCAACCTTAACAGCAACAGGCTTTTCACCTACCAGTTGTGCGATTCCGGGGCTAATGAATGGCATTTTATGCCCAGTTGTTATAGTTACCACCGTTTCTAAGATGCTCTTTAATCTGACAGATTAATGTCTATCCGCCTTATCTTCTATCAATTGTATTAGTTGAGGCAAATGGACACAGGATCGTTAAGTAGCTTGGATTGATGATTGTTTCCAGCCTTAGAAAAGTTGCATAGAAACCATTATAAATTAATTTCCACTAAATTTGTCAGAAAAATAGCTTAATATTTGTGTTCTTCTTTGTTTGCAAATTGTCTCCAATATGTTTTTAGCTGTTTAATTGCATCTATCATGTCCAGTGAACACGATGCGATCACAGGCTAGTTAATTTTTGCCTAAATAAAAAACCATAAGTTCTGCATAAATAAGATTTTGGGATAAATGAGACATCAAACGCCTTTTCCATTAAGCATAAGAGATCTACTTTATCTAGTTCAATTTCTTGCAACATCATTAAAGAAAGACTTTGTGCTTTGAATCTCTTTTCCCCTCCGCCGATTATAATTGCTGTAAAGCAGAAGTCATATTATCTGTTGAACCTTGTTCATGCACTTCTCCATGACCAGAGGAATGGCAAGCAGGCTTCTAATTCACGTAGTAAACATTCAAGTGATTGATTCAATGCCCATTGGTATTTAAATTTCTCACCCAGGCATGGTATGGTAGACCACAAAAAGGCATGGTACGTAGGCCTCGTGCATAAATTGATTTTCACTTTGGCACTTATGGTTGCCGTGAAATTTATAGATCAAACCAACAAGATTAGCAGCAACTGGAATTAGCAAATTTTATTGCAGAGAGACAAGAAACATTTTGATTTTTGAAAAAGAAACCTCTACCATAACGAAAAATCAATGAATGGAACTTTGGCCCTTTGGCTATTCTTATAGCTCAAGTGCCACACAAAAATGAGAGAGCTATGTGCATAGAATAACAAGTCAATTACCTTGGCCATTGGCTGCAGAAACAGCAACGCTCACGAAATAGTAAACAAGCAGTTCATAGTGGCGAGCCTCTTCCGTATTCTCATCATCAAATCAAAAGGAAACAGGATGCGACAGTTTGGTATCATAACTTGGATTGTTTAGAAGAGTACTCGCTTGGGACTTTTATCATGCAATGAGAGCAATATAATGATCGAGACAGATGAGGTACAAGGTCTGAATAAGAGGGACCATGAAATAAATTTTCTCAGTTTTAGGAGAGAACGAGATGAATACAGAGGTTAAACGAGCATCCCACACCCAAAAGGTGCCCCACATAGGTCTTCCCTGAAACCCTCCTGTAACTAAGGTAAACAACGTAAAAAAAACACCCATTTCTGTACCGGTTCCAGAAGAGCAAAGAAAAAGGGGGTGTTTTGTTAATAGGAACAAGAAAGTGTTTATAGCCATAGCGATATAAACAAGAATACTCATCCGAGCCGCAGGAACATGTACATAGGCCTCAACCCTTCAATAAACAAGAAGATAAATGGATGGTGAACAGCACATCTACAATTTTATTTCATTAATTAGTTGAAATTTTAGTGTTGGATGATTCACTACGTTCCACCCATCAGACAGGCTCCAGTGCTGTATATGATAGGCCCGATTTTTTACATGTCATGCCAACAAAAATAAAAAATAAAAACAAAGAAATGAAAATGGAAAATTTAAGAGAGCAGAATATGGACTCACATCACCAGGAAGGTATCTATTTGGTTAAGCTAAACTTTGAAAGAACTGCAGCTGCCTGATCACCGCCCAACAAGAAATAAGGATGCCTTAGAGCAGCAGCAGCTGATAAACGTCCCCTTCCAAGATAACCTCTCTCTGAAATCAATTTTGTAGCTAGATCCCACCCTCTACCCGAGTCAAGTTCAAGAATTGTCAGGTCAGGCCTCAATCGAGTGCTCTCCCTCCATTTATTCAAGTCATATCTAGCTTTCTTTATTTCTGTATTGAAATTCTTTAAGCCTGATACAGGCCTTAAGCTTGGTATTGCCATTTGCAGGAGAACAATCCCAGCAGAGTACGTATCAAATAGATCAGGACTGTTTAACTGCAGCAATAGTTGCAAATTTCATTTCAGCATACTAGAAAACTACAGTTAAACGACCAAGTCTGTGAGCAGGGTGAAGTGATCATATAAAGGCTGGCTAACAAATCAGATTAGAACCCAATCAGCATTCGATAAATAGATGTGCACATGGAAAAGGCAAACTTTCAGATTAGATAAGAATTAGCGAAGGAAAGTGAGAATTTGATACATTTGGTTTCATATTTGGAGAAGAGATTAGATGGTACAGTACCTGCCATATAACTGGAGAAAGAAGGGCAGCAACCGGCTCAGGTGGAGGACTTGGTGTCTCCTCTGGGAGCACAAATAGCTCTGGTGGACAATAGTCCGGATCAAGCAGACTTTGGTCAGGTATGTAGTTCTTGCCAATCCGGAGGTCAGTGGCCGCCCCAAAATCTATGAGCTTAATCTGTCCCTTCTTTGTCACCACTAAATTGGCTGGCTTTACGTCCCTGTGAACAATCCCAGTATCATGGATTTTCTTAAGTGAAGTAATAATCTGGCGCATTACTTGCTTGATGATCAATGCACTTCGTTTAACAGAATCAACTCCTTGCAAGACACGCCCAAACATGACAGACTCTAAGTTAAAAGGGAAGTTACGATCTTTCATGTAATCACCAAGGGTTCGATCTCCCTACAATTGGTGCATGGGACAACAGTTGTATCATTAAATGAATTTAGAACTGTAAACAAATCTGTGTGCAGCAAGATTGATTTGAACCAAAGTTCCGAAATAAACAAATGAAACTGCAAAAGTCCATTCCATCCAAACTCATATGTAAAGAACTAGCATCATATTTGGGAAGTTAAATATAGAAAATACTTTTTATTTAATTTTTCAAAGTTCTTGGAAGATTTCCAGCTAGGTGAGTACCTCAAATTTCCAAACAAGCCATTTTCCACCCTTTGTAAACTGGGAACTCGTTTGATCAGCAACAAAACTTCCAAGGAACTTGGCACATGTTTCAGGAGCTGCTCTTGATAGCCTGTAATTAAACCACTCCTCAAATTCACCGAATTGTTCTGCCCCTGTGATTCCAACCTTTACCTGCATATTCCCATTAATATCACCATCACTTCCACACATTCCAGAAAATGAATTACAAAGTTGATAATTCATACGCAAGGAGGAGGGCTTGTATAAGAGTGAGAACTCATCTTTTGATTACATTTTCCTCTTTAAGAATTAAAACTCATTGAATGTTCTAAGAATGTATATCAGTGATACAGAAGGGACGGCAGTTGTATACTTGTATTCTTTTATATAAAGAATAAAAGAACTTACCTTTTTTAGTATGACCTTTTCTTTGAACCTCTCATCCAACTGTAGTGCTCTTCCAGTTCCCCTCTTCGGAACCTTCTCCTCTACAGTTGCATTCCTTGGAACAACCACTCCAGAATAGACAACACCAAAAGAACCTTCTCCCAATTTATCCCCAACCAGAAAATCACTCCTCTTCAAATTCCTCCTTCCAGCCAAACTGTCCAAACCAAGTTGCAGAGGAGCAAGAAGGTATGCATCGATGGCGCCTATGAGAATACCAGGCCTTGCAGTTAAATAAATCCATGCCGCCCCAGCAAAAACCAGAAGACCCCATTTCTGCGTATCTGACAGTTCCTCAGTAACACTCTGAAATTGCACCAACCCAGATTGAAAAGCTGGGAATTGGTCCAGTTGAAGAGTGTTCTCCAATAAATCATCTGGAATGTTGCCGAAAAATGCTTTACACCTGCCTGGGTTACTTCTGAAACGGTCAGTGAAAGAAGGTGTATCGTGATGCAAAGTAGGCTTGAAAGCAGAAAAGCAAATAATTTTAGGATTCTGCTGAAGTGCAGGTGTCATAGGTGATATCAGGGAAGCCATACTGCTTCTTCAGCGGGGAGTGAGCTCTAATGTAATGAGCTCAGCTCTGCCCTCAAGAAAACCAGCTCATGTCAGCAAAGGCTGATCTTTTGCCACATGCCATACACAAATTTATCCACTGAGAAGGAAATTCGTGGACAGATACAGCCCCATTTCCCTGCCAAGTATATTCAGCAAGCTGATAACGGGCCTAAGGTTTTGTTATTCTCTTCGTTGAATAAGACGATTTTGGGCTTACCCATGACGGGATAAACTCATAGCTTCGAGGGGCGGGGCAAATGCAATTTTGTTTTTTAGCCCGCATAGCTAAATATACGAAAAGAAAACAAGACCTTTAATTTACTGTCGAAAAAAAAATATTCAGAACATACTAGGAACTCTGGCAGTAGCTCTTCTAGCTTCTCATTCAACGTAGTTTGAGTTAAAATTTTCAAAAAGACTACAGATACCAGAGAATATTATCCACTGAGATGCCTTTTGGCTTCTGCAGAAGAAATGGCTTCTGTCCATAGGCAGAGCTTTCTTTGCAGCTACAACTCACAAAATGACACCTAGAGGCTTCTTAAATAAACCACTTCAAACTCAAGACCACATATCGTGGGAGATAAAGAGCGATCCGATGTATGCTATGCTAGTACAAGGGGCTGCTTTGTTGAAGGAAAGAGGCCGCAGGCCTTACATAAGTGAAGTTCACAAAGGGATTCGTATTCATCTTAGGGCTAGCAGCTGGGGAATCCGACAATGTCATGTCAGTCCAACACTTGTCAAAGTTAGCAATGCAGTGCTTCCCAGCTACATCTGGACGGAAACTGGGTTGGATCTCCCTTGCATCCAATTTCTTCCAGTTGATTGGCTTGAACCACTTGTGTCGCTTAATCTCTTCACTTCCCAAAGGTCCACTTCCTAGGCGTTTGCTGGCATTCTTGTTGAGGAGCTAAAACAAAACCAAACAAGTTCACTTAGCTCTTTTAGTTAGTAATGAGCATCATAATTAGTACCTCAGACACCACCCCCTCCTTCCCCCAACCCAAAACTCAGCACCAATTCAAGGCTGATATCACCGCAAGATCATCAACTAAAGAATTGGGTGTTCGTAAATCTTAATCTGGACAATTAAAGAACAATATGCCAGAACCAACATTTTCTTCTTACCTTATCCTTTTATTTTATTTCATTCATTTATTTTATTTTGGTGCAAACCAAAACCAAAATTCAAGCCCTATGCTAAAACACTGTTTAAGACATAAATATAAGATGGGTATAAAATTTACCCCTTTCAACAGGGTGTGCGCTTCACTTGTCAAAAATGACGGCAGCTTGATCTTATCCTTGACTATCTTCTGTTGAATTTTATCCCTGTTCCCACCAACAAAAGGAGGCTGCATGACCAAAAGACAAGAAAGCAAACATAATAATTAGGCAACATTATTGATATAGAAAGGCTTGGCAGCCCTCATAAACACGTATGTTCATACTTCATATCAACAAGAAATGAGCTGCAAGATGAGGGGAAAACGGGGATTCTCCCCAGTACCCCCCCAGTACACCAAGTAAGCATAGAAATACACAAGATAGAATATACCTCTGCATGCATTATTTCAATATCTCATGTTTTCAAACAACATCCAAAACTTGGCATCTGAGCTTACCAAATTTCCTTTAATTCCCTTGGGTCACAGACAAATTAAGAAAATGCTTTGCAAGCAGAAGTGTACACAAAGAGAAACCAGGATAATAATTTCAATAAATTATGAAAGCATCTAAGTGACAAGCGATTGTAAGAATTAGAAAAGGGAGGATAACACAGAGAAATTCATTGAAGGGAAGAAAGCCAACCTTGCCAGTGAGCATCTCGTACAATAGAATTCCTACACTCCACCAATCAGCCGCCTTATCATGGCCTCTTCCCTGAACAATTTCAGGTGCCATATATTCAACTGTTCCACACATTGAGTTTGATCTTGTATTTTCGTCGAATTGCTTTGCCAGGCCAAAATCAGTCAACATCACCTAGACAAAAGATTGTATAAAACATAACTTTTTTTGTTCAGAAAAGAATATGTTAGTGCATGTGCATGTGCATGGAGGGAGGGAGGGAGGGAAAGGAATTACATGGCCATCTGAATCCAGCAGGATATTTTCCGGTTTAAGATCTCTATGCATTATGCCATTTGCATGAAGGTGACAAACTGCAGAAACAATCTCAGCAGCATATATACGTGCCAGATCCTCCCTAAAATAGAATAGCCACATCTTAATAAGTATCAATCTACTTCAAGCCTTCAGCAAAAAGCATCCAAACCAATGAAATTATAGATACCTGAAAAGGCCATGGTTATAGAGCTGGAAGAAAAGGTGACCCCCATTTATGAAATCCAACACCAGGTACAGTCTATATTTGGTCTGCATGCCAGCAACAGCCAAAATTTAATGTTCAGTAGTCTCAATGGAAAAGGAAGAAATTCAAAAATAGATACTTCCTATGTTAAGATCCTGTTGTCTAGAAAGATTTTCACAAAAAAATGCAATTCCTCAAAAAGATTCTTTTTTCCCTAGGTGGCTGAATTCATGTTAGAAACAAATAAAATCAATGCAGTAACTAGACTGTCAGATGGATAATTACTTGGAAGGAGTATTTGAGCTGGACAATGAAGGGATGTGCTATTTTTGTTAGAATATCTCTTTCACCTCTCATGTAATCAACATGATTTTTCTCCACTATTCTGTCCTTCCGCATGACCTTCATTGCATATATTTCTGGTGTACCCTTTTTCCTCACCTGATAAACTTTCCCAAATGCACCCTGCCCAACAACCTTTAAAACCTCAAAATCTTCAATGCCCACAGTTTGGACCTCCAAAGTATCTCCACTGACACCCTCCACATCTTTCTCAATGGCATCATCATCTATGGAACATTCCTCTAGTTCTTTAATAGTCTCATCCAGGACACACTTCACTAGTTCCGTTGAATCTTCTGTCTCATTTAAATTAAGCTTGCTGAGCTTCAATGATTGGCTAACATAAGAAGAGGGGCCAACCAATGAATGTGACCGGTTGTGAATGACAACAGGGTTGTCATAAATAAGCTCATTGCCATCTCCCACAGACAGAGGATCACCACAATTCACATCTATGGATGGCAAAGGACCAAACACATCAGTGAAATCAAGTTCAACATGATCTGATACCACAGTATCTAAGGAATTCACAGGAAACAACAACCGGTTCTTGGTCGACCCAGGTAATTGAGAGGAAACCATTTCGCAAAAAAAGCCAAATATCACTATGACACCAACTGCAGCTGACTCAAATCTATCACTGCTACAGATGTTAGCTGCAGAAGGCCAAATCTATAACAGCTAAAGTGTGATTTCTCCACAAGTATCCAAAACACGAACTACTGAGGGACGCCTGTCAATGGCCTTAATCAAAAGGAAGTTGACGTATGCAAAAGGAGTCCCAAGAAACTTTGGCAATAGGCAAAATAGGATCCAGAAGAAAAAGTTGTTCTTGTTTCCTGATTTGCAGGAAACGGTTGATGCTCCAGTGGTACTTGAATTCATGAAGATCAGTCCGTCAAATCTGCAAAATTCAACACAAAAAAAGAGCACAGAGAAAAAATTACCCATCAATGCCAAAATACCCACAATTCACCATCATTTCTACAAATAAAAAAATAATAAATCGAGGGTTTGTTAACAGATAGTTCACATACACAAAATTAATAAGCAAAGATGAGAAGCTTAAGGAAAACTTCAATTATATTCACCCGTTATTCAAATACTAATTTCTCTTAATAAAAAAAAATCAAAAAATCAACTTGAAACCGAAAAACCTACACTTAGTAATTATAAAACAAGAATCCAAAAACGGATTAACTAGAAACTAATAACAAATTAATGAATTGAAACCAAAGGTAAATTCCTCTACAATTATTACTTCAAATCTTTTCCAAAACAGATCAAGATATTAAATCCAAAACAAACAAGGACTGTAACTTTCATACCAAATCAGGAAAGGAAAAAGATTTAAATTCTGGGTTTTATAAACAGAACTAAATTAAATCAAGTGAGCAACCCAACTCAGATCCAAAACAACAAAATTTACGGACACTTTGAAATAAGAACCTGCATATTTTCATACATAACTCAAATATTAATTTCAATAAAACAAAGCAAACAAATGCCAAAACCCCTACTCAGACCCAAGAAAAGAGACTAGCTTGGGAAATAAAACAGCAGCAGCAGATATGCAACCCTCAAAAAATATATAAAATTAATAAGAAAATCTTAAAACTCCGAATTAAAAGATAGAAAAAATAAAGAGAGGGAACTTGGATTACCTGGGGAGGATGCCGAGGGAGAGAGAAATAATGGGAGAATTTAAAAGGAAAGAGAGAGAGCTCTCGAGGAGAAAGCGGGAGGCTGCCACTTCTATTTCTTCTAAACACTACTTATGCGTGTCCAATGTTTCCGTGAATGGCAGCTATTACGTGGCGTTCTTTTAGTTGAGGTTACGTAACTGAGTTTGCCTGAACTTTTGGATCTTGGAATATGCCTTTGCGGATCGCTTGGTAGATGACTGCCTGCGTTACTCTATCTAATCTCAATAAAAACAAACAATTATTATCCTAAGCATCATAATCTAATTTTTATTCTTTATACTCCAAGTTTGATTTTAAAATTATATAATAATTTTTTTCTGATTTCTTATCCCCCAATTCTTCCAAATGCAGGATGTGAGGTGGAGCTTTAAAGTCATTAGATATTTGATTTAAATAATCCTAAAATCATTAAAAAAATTAATTTAAGTAATTTGAAAAATAAAATTATTATTAAAAAAAAATTATTCATTTTTATCAAGACATGATTATATTTGGACCTCTCCTCTCAATAACTTGTCAAGGTTTCTATTCTAAATCAATCATGAAATTTTTTTGAGAAGCATTATGTTTTGAAAGAACAATTTTTTTGAATAAAATAATTCTTTAAATTATTGCAGTTTCAGTTTAAAATGGTAAGGTTAGGACGTTGGTTTCAAATTAATGCAATATTTTTTTTTTAAAAAAAAAAGATATTTATCCATAGATAGAATTACAAAATAAATTAAAAGGAGGGAAGAACAACATTGCTGCATTTATTGTATCTTTCCTCCCTATTTCGGCGTGGATTGCTACATTTAAATACACGTTTTTTTTAACTATTCAAGTGGTATGGAAAAATACGATTTAGTCCCTGTATTTTTTTTATTGGTCCCTGTAATTTTCTTTTTTGATATTTTGATTCTAAAACCATATTTCTTTTATATTTCAGTCCTTCAATTTTAAGAAAGAAGAGAAAAGGTCATAAAAAATAAAAATAAAACTTTTTGGTTAGCAACATTTCAACCTCTTAAATAATCAATCTTGAAATTTGTTTTAAATAGGAAAGCATAACGGAGGTAATTTAGACTTTATCTTGAAATTTGTTTTAAATAGGAAAGCTTAACGGAGGTAATTTAGACTTTTAATAATAATAATAAAAAATATTGGTGTCGTAACTCATTTTTTATCCTTTATTACTTTTTCTACTTTGTTTTAAAATAGAAAAATTTTATTTATGCAATTCAAACATTTTACTATTTTTAACATTTTCATTTATTATTTTTAGTTTAAAGGTTGTGATATCAAAAAAGAAATTCAAAAAAACAAAAAACAAACGACGATGTTCTTCTTACTCTCATGTCAACAACCAAAAATAAAAAAAACCTACTTTTTGCTCCCTCAGTGTCTTTTTTTTCTCGTCAAAACAAGCTAAAGCTCAGTGTCTCTCTATGCCACTACATGACCAATTATAGTTGGAAACCTAACCCTAAAGTTCACACAATCTATTGCAAGTCAAGCCAAAACACACCATTTTCATCTCTTTTTCACTTAATTCAAAATCAAGTAATAAAAGCTTGTTTTGTCATCTAAGTTTATACTTATAAAATAGTTAAAAAGACATCTTTTTCATCGAATTTTTTCAATTAGTTATAAATATTGTACAATATGACATAAAAAGATAGCTCATATTCCCTTTGTTATTGCTATAAAAAGTTGTCAAAAACCATATTATTTCATCTCTTATATAGTTACACCATCATCATAGGACTATCCTTTTACAATTTCATTCCATGCAACTAAACCACGTCAAAAACACCCCTATTTATCCTTTAAAACTAATTGTGTCATCACCTCAAAAGACACCTTTTTTTAGTTACAAACATAGTATAAAAATAGTTAGCAAAAAGAGCTAGATAGTGTAGATCAATTATACAAAGTTAAGGGTCAAGATTGAATGTTGAAGAAAGGTTTTAAGTCATTCTTTAATACTTATAAAAGGGCAAGGCTTCAATATTAAAACAAAAATAATAAGATTGAAACAAAAGAGAGAGAAAGAGACAAATGATATATATAAAGAGAGATTTGATTTACAAGAGGCAATCTAATCTAGTCAAACTAGAACATTATTTAATTTAGGTTCTAAATAGAGTTATATACCTCGATTTTAAACATGTTTTATCTTGTCAAACCAATGCAATCTTGTCAAACCAATGCAGTAGCTGTCATCAAAGAATAAAACCATGCTATCTTTTGAATAAATATTTTGGTTAATGTTTAATCTTTTATTTAAGTCCTTTTAAGTTGTTTTTTGCTTTGTATTGTTCCTAGATTTTGATATGCATCAAAATACCATGATTTTAAATAAAATGAGTTTTGGTGAAATCTAATATATTTTCCCTTTGTAATTTGTGTTTTGGTTTTTTCCTTTAATATACTTTGTTCAAACTTTTTAAATAATTAGGTCGACAAGTTTCATAGTTTTGAGAACTGATATAAACTTAACATATGGTTTTTAATGCTAAAATGAGTTAAAAAAAATATATCAACGAATTTCCCACAAGTTTTCATCAAGTTAGCGATGTTTTGATTAAACTTGTTTTTAATATTTAGATTGATGAGTCACTAGTTTTAAAAAGAAAAATAGACCCGACATGTGGTTTTTAACCCTAAAATAAGTTGAAAATTTTGTCAATGAGTTTTAATCAAATATCGTTAAGTCTTGTTTAAGCTTTTTAAATGGTTAGATGACAAGTCTTCTAGTTTTAAGGTCCTAGGCAGGCTTAAAATGATATTTGACCTTAAAATAAGTTTAAAAATGCATTAATGAATTTTCATCAAATTTTTATTAAATTGATAGTGTTTTAGCTTAAATTTTATTTTTATAGAAAGTTTTAATATATATATATATAGTTGCAACACTTTTAACTCATAACTTGATATTATCTCAAATGAAAATCGATTAATAATAAAGAAGTTGTGAATAAACTCTAAAAATAATTTTGATAGTTAATGGTATAAAAAAATAAATTAAAAAAAATATATAGTCAAGTAATATTTTTTTGAAAAGAATATAGTAAGGGTGATGTTTATCTTCTTTTAAATATAATCAATTACTTGCTTGAGTTTTAGAAACCAATGCATATTTTATAATTTATAGTTTCTTTAACAAATATGTAGCAGATTTTTTTTTTTAATGTATATTTTTTAAAAAAATTTTAAAGGTCTTGTTTTCATGTTGGGTCGTTATAGTTTCTTTAACAAATATGTAGCAGTTTTTTTTTTAATGTATATTTTTTTTTAATTTTTAAAGGTCTTGTTTTCATGTTGGGTTGAAAATAAGTACTTGCAAAGTCTTTTTAAATTTAATTTAATTTAAAAATGATTAAAGGTGTTTCATGATTTGAAAATGAGGTTATTGAATTTTATATAATGTTATTTTAATGTTTTTAAATGAAAAATAGATTGAATCTTAGGGTTTGAGATTTAAATTACCCAAACACCAATTTATAATCATTAAAGATAGCCAAAATTTATTGCGGTAGATGACACTTTGTATGTTTAGCCAAAATTTAGAAAATTGTTGTCCATGCATTTTTGTAAAAAATAGGTGCGTAGGCCTGGGTTTTCTTCCTTATAATGACAGACACTTGAATATAGGCTTCTAAACCCCTGTGCCTCTAGATTGGACCCTACTTTATTTGTTACATTTTTTTACATTTTAAAATAAAGTTTTTTTCAATTAAAATAATTACAATGATATTTTAAAAATATTACGACGATACTATATTTTTAAATAAAATTAAAGGATTTTAATGATAATGTTTAAGGTTATTAATAATAATTTTGGCAATTATTCTATGAATAGAAGACTAATATGATGCATTATTTTGTTTTTGTAAAATTTCTCATCACTCATAGTTATTTAAGGAGAATAAATTTGATATGAGATGTAAATTTAATAAGTTAATTTTTATAATTTTAATTTGTTTTATATATAATTATTATACTCTTATATCATGTTATAAATTTAATAAGTTATTTTAGATAAATTTAATATATCATTATTTTAATATTTTAATAAATAAAATAAAATATATTGTTATATCAATATTTAAAAAAGATACCATCTTGTATAATTATATTTTGAGTGGATAATTAATTTTTATTTGAAAAAAGTTAACAATTTTTGAATAGTTTTTTATATTAAAAAATTTGACTTAACCCTAAAGTCTTCCTACTAAAATGAATCTTCTTGTTGTAATTAGTACGGTCAATAATTAATTTTAATTTCATTAAAAATAACAATTTAAGCTCAGTTTTTCCTTTTTCTTTTTTAAATAAAAAAATGGTTTTCCTTTGATTACGAATGCTGGGCAAGTGGGTGGCCTTGTTATCCACAAGCTATATTACAGTGTTGATCTTGACAGTAACATTTAGTTCTCTAAATTATAATCCTAAGCCACTTGCAACAACATGTGTGATTGCCTTCCTTCCTCCCCCCTTCCCTTTTCCATAATCACACCTCAAAAATTAAGGCAGCAATCTTACTCAACTGTTAACTTTTCAAGTGTTAACAGAAGTGGAAGGTTGAAGTTTACAAGCATCAAAGCCAGCAAGAATACTGGTGAAGTGGGGTTTAAAGAAAAAGTTCAAGAGGAAGAAGAGAAGAACTTTGAATTAGAATCATCAAGGATTCAGAAAGATAAAGAAACAGAAGTGGGTTCTCTTGGTTTCGATATTCTCGAATTGAAGGATGGTGAAAAGGATGGAAAACAAGAGCAAGATTTGGTTGCAGTTGAGAAGGAGCGAAATAAGATAAGAAACGGAAGGAGAGGGAAGCAAGTAATCAGAAGATCGAGTATTTTGGCAAAGCAAGTGATTAGCATTCGTTCTGCGCTTAGTTTGGGTTTTGTGTCTCAAATTTGGGTCGATACTAAATCTGTAAGTTCACTAGTCTTTCACTTACTGTTATATATATTTTTTTTAAAATTCAAATTAATGCTGTTAATTGTATAACGTTGAAAAAGGATGATACTAATCAAGCAAAAGCCATGCCTGCTATCCTGGTTAAAACAAATATCAATCACTACTTTCTGCTTAGAAGATAATAGCTTGTAATTAGCAAGAGAATTAAACTGGCACCCTAGCTTTTTTTAATAGTTTGTTTGAATGAAGTTTGAGTTTTGCGTGTCTTTCCCAAGTTGAAATCTTATGAACTGTCTTAATTTTGATGTGAAAGAAGAAGACATAGGATGGCTGACAAGAAATGTGGTCGGGTTTTCATGCTGCGCAATCTGGCTCACTATTTCATTTAACCCTTCCTTTGACGTGTTTTATATCTGCAGGATTTGCTGTCTGGTTCTGTGGTTCTGTGAATTTGCTATTTGATAAGTTCAGGCTCTATTGCTGGTGTTTAGTCCTGCTGGATTTTACTAGTTTTTGTCCCCTTCCTCTGTTGATGCATCTGTTCTTGCCTTAGATCATAGTTTTGCTTTTGAGTTCATACATCTTAAAGGCCTTTTCATATTGTTTAGCTTTTGAGGAATGGTTTTCCAAGATTATCTGCCGCAGCATTTTGCCCTTCTGTTATTTATTTGTTGTTGTTCTGTGACTTTTGATGCTGCTGTGTTGTTCTGATGATTGTTCATTTTCCTGCTGTTCTCCCTCATCCCCATTCTGCTTTTTCTGTCTTAGTGATGCTGCGATTTCTGCTGTTGTGGTTGTGGTGCTTTGACTGTTTCTCCGCCTTCTCTACTGCCCATTTTCATAGCTGGTTGTCCAGATAGCTTTTCTCCTCTAATGTTCCTTTTTTTCTCCTCTTTCTTTCCTTAGATGATGTTATTCTCCTTCTATAAGTCCTGTAGTTGAGCTGAAGCTTTTTTCACGTTCTCTTCATCAGTATTATCTCATTTGATTGATAATTGATTTAATCGCTTTGATGTTATAGCATCTGGGTGGTTTTGTAATTAACTGTGGAATTTGTTCCCAGTTTGTTAGAATTTTTACTTTTTCTTTGTTCAGTGGGTGGTGTTAGTAGTTGAAGTAAGGCCAAACTTGCTTTCTGGAGAATCAGAGAGTTTTCTTCTAGAGGATGTTAGCCAGGTAAACTTTTTCCATCTCTTAAGACTTTCTTAGCAATTTGGCACCTAGGATGTTAGCCACTACATGATATTTAATCACTCTTGAAAAGTTGTTTATATTTATTTAATTTTATGTATCATCACTGACCCCACCTTCATAATAATGGTTTTTATGGATTATAATGTTTATCTTAGCAGGTTGGGGATGTAGTGCTTGTTGAGGACGAGAATGTGATGGATACTGAATTAAAAATGATTGGCCTGGAAACGCTGGTATGTGTCACTGTTCACTGGTGTGCTCATATTTCCGTGTGTCACATGCATGTTTGTTTTCATAATTTGATGAATTGTAATCGAAAAATGTTTCTCATGTCAAAATATTTTATCACTTTGTACCATTTTCTGAGTTCTGGTTTGAGTAGTTCATTAAAGAAGAATTTTCATTCTTCAAGGTGAACGTTTTTTGTCCAAAATCCATATGCCTTTCAGGTGTTTTCTGTTTTCAGTTTTTCTTGAAGTGTATCGGGTATTCCTACAGTTGATTTCTTGTTGGCATATCACTTTTTGAGAGATTAACTTTCGATGCTTGTTAGGTAGGATATAGAGTTGTGACACCAGCTCAGCGAGATATTGGAAAGGTCAGTGCTATGTATTCATCAAGTCCTGTAATTTCTCTCGTTATTCAATTTCCTTGTTCTCATTTGCAATTTTTTAGGTGCGAGGGTACTCTTTCAACATTAATTCTGGGGCAGTGGAATTGCTCGAGCTTGACTCATTTGGGATTTCTATCATTCCATCTAGTTTGGTTGGTTGACTGGTCCTTTTTTCTCTCAAAAGAGCACATGCCACAATTTCTTGCTATGTAGCAATTGCATGTAAAGATTTACTCGAAAATTTCCTTCATGAAAAAGGACAGGAGCTCAAATGCTAATCATTTTTTATACCTTCAGGTGAGTACCTATGCTTTACCTGTTGAGGATGTGCTTGAAATTTTATCAGACACAGTTGTTGTGCATGAATCTGCTGCCTCACACATACAGAGGCTAACAAAGGTATCCCCTGATGCATAATTATTTAACTCTTAATCTTGCTTTGTGTTTGGCATTATAGATTTCTTTGGATGCCGAGAAAGTTTTTAATTTCAATTAAGTTGCCTTGTAGTAACTTTTGTATGTTGAATATTTTCCCGTTCTCTTCAGTAGTGTAGCAATGCTTGAAGGCTGCTCTTGCTCGTGTAAAATATTATATGTTTGAATATTTATGTGCACACGCGTGTTTGCACACAATATAGATGCCTGCTTGAAAGCAGACTATTTGATGCAATACACTGAGGCTTACTGATGTTTGTTCTAAGCAATCATTGTTCTTGAGAACAGTTGAAAACTCATTAACTGCACCGCATGTTTGATGCTATCTTGTTTTTAGTCAAAAGTTTGAAACTACTCTCCTTTGTGATTTGAACCAGAGCAGATATCCCAACTCCCTAGTTAACTTAAATTTTGTTTTTGCCGACTCCATCTCTAGAGAAGCTAATATCCACGCACACACCCTTTGTTTCATTGTAGGAAGTTGAAAGCTTTCCATCATTTTGCTTGAAATGATGATCTGTAGGTTAACGTAGTATGTTTTCATACTAGGGCTTCTGGGATGCTCAGAACGTGGGGACAAAATTAGATGAAGGTGAAGAGTATTCTGATTATGAAAGTTCCGTAGGTCGGAGCACTCGGAGAAGTTCTAGGAGCCAGAAATTTCGTTCAAAAATTAGAGAAAGTGAGGATGATTGGGAGCTTCCAATGGATTACTTGTGATATTTTAGTATTTTGATGCTGCTCGGAATGTGTATATACTCCATTATAGGGCAGCACATTACATTTCCTCGAGTTCTCATGTCTTTTTATGTTGCCTCTTTTCCCAAAAGTTAGATGAACTATCAAGACAAGCAGGGTAGTTAAGAATCATCAACTTTGGATGAAGGCTCTTTGATTGAGGTCTTTGACCACCCACCTACCCTGTTCAAGGACTTGTCTCTGAAAATTGAGCTATGTTGTATTATTGTATATATGCTATCAATGGTAAAAAAAAAAATATACTATCGATATATTTCCAACAGTTTCATGTGCAGGAACAGGTGGAACTATGCATGCTTTCATGTCAGCAATATTGTCAATAAAAAGAAAGAAAGAAAGAAATAAAACCCATCAAGGTCTTGGACATGCTAGTCTGCTCCGACACTGGCTCCAGTGAGAATAATTACTCGCTAGGAAGGGAATCCAAAGCCAAATCATCTAGTGGATGATGATGATGTGCTTCTTCACTTCCCATTGCTGTGTCCTCCGTGATCTGTATATAATTCCCATTGCTGTGTCCTCCGTGATCTGTGTAGTCATCAATGACTGGAATTAGCAGTTACAACTGGCATCGCGAGGGGATGTTTTCTTAATTTCTTTTTCTTTTTGGTGGAAACGGCTGGAATTAGCAGTTACAACTGGCATCGCAAGGGGATGTTTTCTTAATTTCTTTTTTTTTTTTTTTGGTGGAAACAGAGGAAAGTAATTTGGATTGAGAAAAATATAGCAAAAGGTTTTTGGTAAATTATTATTACAAATGGAAAATGTGTTCTAAAAACTGAAAAATGGCTAGTTTGTCATGAATAATAAAAAAGCAATTGAGGGAGTATTTGGGTAGCGGCAAAATTAGTTTTTAAAATATTTTCTTAATATATTAAATAATATTTTTATTATTTTTTAAAATTTATTTTTAATATCAGTAAATTAAAATTATCATATGAAAATAAAAAAAATTATATTTTTTTTCCTCTCTCGAGACTTGCAACCATATAGAATGTTAATTTATTTATCTCATGAACATAATTAAAATCAGCTTATAATAAAGGCTTGTCTATTTAATATCAACATCAAAATACTATATAATCAGCAACCTCGGATCGAGGAGCCTCTTGTCTCCCCTCATCCACATAGATATATAAATATTAGTAGCCGTTATCGCCTGTTTTCATTCAAACTCAAACCTCACCTTGCTCCCTCCTACCTGCTTAAATCCTCTCCCTCACAATTGCATTTTTCTCATCTGACATAAAAGCAATAGAACCATGCTTAAGCTCCAATCTCCACTCACCGGAGAAGAGAACCTCCGGCCAAAATCTTGTCGGAAACCACTCCAACCAAAGAACTCACCAGTAACTCCAATGACCCAGGTTCAAATTTTGAGACCAAAGCAAGAGTGGATTGAGTTCTCAGTGTTTAAAGATTCCAACAAGGAGAACCATCCGATCTGCACCACAACCCCAACAAAATCCATCACTAAGCCATTGGATTCTTCACTAGCAGAAGAATTGAGTGCTATCAAGAAGAAGCTAGAGAGGCTGAGACTAGACAGAGAGAGAACTGAGAAGATGCTCAAAGAAAGGGAGATGGTGATGGATTTGCAAATGAAGGAGCTTGAACAGAGAGGAGAAGTTCAAAAGAGGTTGGAGAATGAAGTTGATATACTTTATAGATTGAAGGAACTCCAATCCTACTCTATGGTAAGTTGTTGAGTATGGAACGTGAAGATTAAATTAGTACTTGTCTGATAATTTTTGTTTATATTTTGAAGCAGATAATTTCTCCGATTCGAACACTGAGAGAGAAGGAGCATGAAAAGAAGACAAGTGGAGTGCAACCAGAGGAAATGAGAGCCGAGGATTCGGAGGAATCAGTTGGAGAAGATGTAATGCAGAGTCCAAGTTCAAGTTGGGGTTCAGAAAATTCGATTTCATCCCAACTTGTTGCTGTGAAGTGAGGAATTTCCTCTGCTGCAAATGTGTTTTGATTTGTGATTTGGGTTTTATGGATCATCTACTTGTTCTTTCACTCCTACACTGCTTCATTGTAGAATCTGAAAGATGGTTTATGAAGAGCGAAAAATAGATTGAATCTGATTTCTGAAATGATGATTAGCTGCTGTATCTTGACTTTTACAACAACTTTCCAAAATGTGGATCTAGAGCTTCATTGTTTTCCTTTTCTTCTGGATTGAGACATGCCATCTTTTCTTTCTTTCTTTTTCTTTCGAAAACATAAAATTATACAGGCTGCCTAGAAGGAGGTGGTGTTGTCGAACCAATCATGAACACAGACACAAAACTTGGTGCTAAATCCATGCAAGAAGGCATTGAGGATTTGTATAATCTCATTCACTTCAACAGTACATAAGTGCGTCACAGGTCAAGGGCACAATGGAAGTAGCAGCAGCCAGGCAATGTGAACAATTACTACTATCACTCCCAAGAAGATGCTTTGCAGCAATGCCACATTCCATCAAACTCATCAAAGCAAACCGTGACAAGAATGCGACACATCATCAGCTCTCAAAACGCTGTTATTAGGATAAAAAAATAATGGCAAGCTTCAAAGGAAATGAAAATCCCTCTGTAAGGCTGATTGATTGATCCTGCAACCAGTGTCAACTCTTTTTGCCGCAAAGTAGTAGAGAACTCCTATCCAACTATCCAGTGAGTAAGCCTCTGAACATGATTTACAGGTAGAATTCCTTTCTGCTGTTTCCCCGGCGAATCGTTGTTTCTTTCTTTTGCAACCAATTTTATATATGTGATTTTAATATATTTTCAAAAAAAATATTTTTAAAAATAATTGTTATCATAATATCAAAAAGACTCTAACTCAATATATTTTTATATTTGTTTATTTATTAAAACGACACATTTGTTATGTTGTCCAGATCGGTTGTTATGTTGTCCTTCATAAGTTTCTTAACAAAAATAACTACTAAAAAAAACTTATTAGAATCACACCTAGAGGTAAAGATGATGTGACGTCGCATTATTTTCTCTCTTTTTTTTTAGTAAAGAAATGCGAAAAACAAGGTGAAGATGCTATTTAGAACTTCTAAATAGTGTTTTATTAAATTTTATTTTTTTTATATTGTTTTATCAACTTGATGTGCTGATATCAAAAATATTTGTTAAAAAATAATTAAGAATTATTATTTTGATGCATTTGCAAATAAAAAATATTTTGAAAAGCAACCATTTTCATTCTCTCAAATAATATCAAACCACATATTCAACTAGTTGTTCTAGCTTATAGGCACTAAATCAATTATTTGCAAAATATTGTAAGGTTCATGAAACCTAGGAATGAGTTTCAAATTCTTCCATGGAGCCACATTGCCCTATTACAACTTTAAAATATACATAATCTCCAACATTAAACTCTTTTTTAATTTTTTTATCAGTAATCTGTTTCATTCTATTCTAAGTGCTATATACATGCTCTTATAAAAATTGATATATAACCCTTATTTTAAATATAAGTTCTTTAACTATAGCATTATTTATAGCTTTTAGTCCTTTGATCTTTAACTATAGCATTATTTATAGCTTTCCTTTATAGCACCAATTCCCTACACCATGATGGATAGCCATATATAACTTAAAAAGGACTTGTTTTATTTGACAAATAATATTTTACTCGTTTTATTAGATGAATGATATCTCAATGTATAGCACTATTGAGCTATATACAACCATTGATTCCACTTATAGGTCATAGTATTTCCAAGAACACATGTAAAACAGGTATTTAAACATTGGCTTAACCTTTATATTTACTCATATGTCTATGGATAATATACCCAACTCATTAACAATATGGATCCCATTAATTTAAATAACTTCATTTAAAACATACTTGTAAAGACCTTGTTCTTATCTATCATAACCAAGGTAAGTAGTCTATGCAACTTGTAAATGTTTATTAGGAATACCTTTACTACATCAATAGTTGAAAAAAGATGTGATACAGCTAAGAAGTGACCATATTTTATTAATCGATCAATAATTGCTATTACTGTATCCTTCCTTTTTTATATGGGTAGCCCTTTCATAAAATCAATTGAAATATTTTCCAAGCTCTCTTAAGAACTAGTAATGGCTGCAACAAAGCAAGATAAGCTATCCTTATAGATTTGCCCCTCATGCGTTGATCATATTCTTTCATAAGCTTTTTCATCATTTTCTTCATTGATGACTAGTAGAATAAAGCCTTGATTCTTCTAAAAGAATTTCATGATGCCCCTTTCATTGCTGAATTATGAGTTGCCTCAAATAATTGCTACCTTTATTTTATATCTTTACCAATATAAATTATATTCTCGTACCTTAATACATCATCATAATAAGTTATATTGAGAATAAGTATCATGTTAAAGTACATTAGTAGTGATACTATCTTAAACCTTTTAATAATACATATAAATCTCAACAATGTTATTATATCAAGTTAGTATGACTATTGTGATAGCTCCAAGAGTACCATACAAAATCATATTAGCATCTTTATAAGAAAAGGTATCATGATAAATAAAAAATCAATTAACAATTTAGTTAATCTTTTATTTTGGATTGGTGTATAAATCTTTTGCTTCAACAAATACCTAAAACTTTTATCATCATTCTTAATGATAGACTTCTCATATTCAAAATAATGTTTTTATTTATCAATATCAATTAAATAGCCAAATACTTATTTTTGTAATTGTCATGCCTAAATGTATAGGACTCAACTTTATTATAGAAAGCCAAAGACTTCCCCTTCTAAACTAGCACAACTCGTATCCCATATTCATAAATATTATTTTTTAGTACAAATACCTTATTGAAATTAGGTATATTAGAATGAGAGCCTTACATAAAGCATTTTTTAACTTCTTAAATGTCAGTTGAGCTTCTTCATTCTAATAAAATGTATTTTTTTTAGAAAATCAGTGAGAAGTTTACTAATAATGTCATACCCTCTAATAAACTTCATGTATTACCTAGCCAAACCTAAAAACAACCTCTTAATTCTTTGATTAATATAGAAATAAGTCAATATATGATTATTGCAATAATATTTGGGTCTGTAGCTGCTTCCTTATAAAAAAATGGCATGCCTTGAATATTCCATCTTTGTGTGACAAGGAAAAAAATATTTAGATCTTTTGGCAAAAAATTGATTCATTTTAAAAGCATTCAAGACCATTTTAAGATGTTTGATGACTAGTTTTATTGTGGGACTATACACTTAGATCACATTGAAAAATACTAGCGTGAAACATCCTTAAGAATGCTCGTCACTTTTCATTCATCATTACTTGAAATATTACAAGGGTATTTATTATTTCAAATCGCATAACTTTGAGTTCATCTAGGGTATATCTTTAAGGATGTCTTGACAATATTTTCTCCACTTATACACACTTGGTGATACTCGACCTTCAAATCTAAATTGGAAAAGAAATGAGAACTTGTAGTTTATCCAAAATATTATCAATTAATAGCATATATATTCTTTACCATCATTTTATTTAACTTGTTGTATATTATAAACCTTGGTTAAGAGCATAATTAAGCTTAGAAAAAGGTGGAATGACAACAAGTAAAACAATTACAATAAAGGAAGAAGTATAACAATTAAAGTGAGGTAAGAGTGAGGTAGTTGAGTTAGTTAAGATTCTATCAGGTAGTTAGATGGGAGAAAAACTCTTGTACATAAAATAGAATGTGACAAAACATAAAGTCTGGCAATAAAAGAATTATAATTTAATATAAAATTTAATTTTTTTCTTTCTAATTCTTATTTTCTCTTCTTTTTATTCTTTTTTCTATTCTTCTTAAAAAAAATGTTTTGTTATGAAACCTTAGTAATTGGTATTGGAGCTTGAGGTTCACAACCATTAGAATGTTTGCATCAATTAAAAGTAAACAATGATGGAATACAGTAAGGTGAAGGTAGTAAGGTGAAGGTTTTGAGGGAACTTTATTTGCAAATAAAAATCATGTTGGCAACATTAAATCCTTCAAGACTAACCAAGATGCAATGAGGCTTCAATTATACTTAGTAACATAAAATTGTATTATAAAAAATAAGCTTATGAAGTAGATGGATCAAATCTTTTTATATATAGATTAGATTTATTAAAATCTAATTATTACTCATTAAAGATATAATCTCTTTGAAATTAATATTTTTTTAGATGTTTTAAATAAACTCATTGAATGAATATTTAAATCTATCTACATTGATCTAACTAAAATTTTTAATGAATCATTTGATATAATTTAAATTGGATCACAACCAAAACATAACTTCAAACCAGAAATAAGTTACGCATACCAACCTAACAATGGTTGAGATCATCTCATTTTGCTAGGTTTTGCGTTTGATCTTTGAAATTAGCATAAATCTATTTACATTGACCATCCACTCTTGCTTTGGTCTCAAAATTTGAACCTGGGTCATTGGAGTTACTGGTGAGTTCTTTGGTTGGAGTGGTTTCCGACAAGATTTTGGCCGGAGGTTCTCGTCTCCGGTGAGTGGAGATTGGAGCTTAAGCATGGTTCTATTGCTTTTATGTCAGATGAGAAAAATGCGTGCGTGAGAGAGAGGATTTAAGCAGGTAGGAGGTACAAGGTGAGGTTTGACTTTGAATGAAAACAGGCGATAACGGCTACTAATATTTATATATCTATGTGGATGAGGGGAGACAAGAGGCTCCTCGATCCGAGGTTGCTGATTATATAGTATTTTGATGTTGATATTAAATAGACAAGCCTTTATTATAAGCTGATTTTAATTATGTTCATGAGATAAATAAATTAACATTCTATATGGTTGCAAGTCTCGAGAGAGTAAAAAAATATATAATTTGATATGATTTGTATGAAAAACCCCCATTATGGTGATGGCCAAATGGCCGCATGAAGATTTCCTTCTGGAAAAAGGCAAAACCTGAAGAAATAAGAAACTCCATAGCAGATTCCTCAAAAGCTTCTGCAAGCCAGCATTATAAAGAGGCAACGGTGAGAAGAAGAAGCACAAGGAGCGGCTCATGTGGTAATTGAGAATGAATGTGCTAGCCGTGACAATGTAGCAGCCTCTCATCATCCTTGTATACACTTCTACAACAACAACAAAAATAATAATAATAATAATTGTAAAGTAATCTAGTTTAGACCTTTCTTTTTCAACAACCAAAATAATAATAAAAAGAAAAGAAGGAAAGCTTCAAGTGTAAAACAAGAAGATATAAAATAACACAAGTTGAGGTAACCAGAATACTCCGATCTCAGGTCTGGCTAAAGTCATCAAATGACTAGACCAGAAGCCTGGATAGACCCCCCTGAACAAAATATCCCTACAGGCTACAGAAAATGGAAATGAATGAAATATTTTCTCCCAAATACCTAAGACAACAAACTGAAATGGTAGTTCAGTTAAAAATACAGATGAAGCTTCACAGATAACCAGCTCCATACCAGTTCTACAGAAGTGCGGTCCTACCTAAAGACCAGATTAGCAGAATTTCCAATGATTGTTGCAGTTTACACATGTTACATATGTCGTCATAGGTTCATCTGCACTCCTGGTCTGCATCTGATAGTAAGTGCACTTGCGCTGTCCACAACGACCACACTTAAACTGATCAGTTGTGGCTTGTGCCTGACCACCACGCTCACAATCAAACAACACTTTCTCTTTAATTTGGTTATTCTCTCGCTTCCTTTGTTCACTTGCCATTTCTTCAGGGCTCATGGTAACAAGCCTCTCTGGTTGGACCTTTCCAAGAAGAACTTTTCTCCTAAAATCTGGGTTGTTTTGGTCCTTGATATTGAACATTATGGATCTGTACTTCAATTTTTGTGCTCCATTTGACCGACCGAGTTTTTCAAACATCATGGATTCTACAGACACAGCAACTCGAATAGGGTCACATGCTTCTACTTCATCCCTAATGTCCTCATCAGCCTCGCTAGCAACTTTGGACAAGGCCTCTGCAAGAAGTTCACGGATTTTGTCGCGTAAAGCATCATTACATTTAACCAGTGTCTTCAGCTTTGGTGGACCAATAGGTGATTGTGATGGTTGCTTCACACTGGAAGTCTGGATTTCCTGCTTGCTCATCTTCTCAACCTTGACAGTCTTATCCTGATCCATTTTCTCAACTTTAACAGTTTCTGAGGTTGAAGCCTTTTCAACCTTTACCACACTAGTCTTTCGAAGCTTCTCAACTTTGACAGTCTCTATTTTTGACACCTCAGCTTTTACTGAACTTTTACTGTCAATGCTACCATTTTTTTTCCTTGTCTCATCAATGACTGTCTTTTTCCACATCTCAAGCAAGTCAGAGGCTACAGCTCGGATTTTCTCCTTAGGATGCTTTGCAAGAGGTCGAAGTTTTTTCCCAACCTGAGATGCACGAAGAAGCAAAATGTCAAAGGCAATCCACCAAGCATACCAACATAACCATTTCAATCATAAGGTCAAGGTTAAGAATAACAAAACTTGAAAATTTAACCAATTAAAGTGCAAGAAAGCAGCAAGTATAAGTGAGTTGGAAAAGAACTAAAAACAGAATGAACTTTGGTGATCATAATAATACACAAAAAATCCAACCTATATTACGAAGTCAAATACAATGGCATCTGGTATTCATTGCCATTGTTTTCTGGGGTAGATCTACATGGACTGTTATACACACAAGATCCACTTCTAATAAACTCTGAACCTGATGTCTACTTTGCCAAAATAAAATTAGCAAACAACCAAGTAGGCCCAAAAGAGATGACACTTCAACATGATTTGATGTGAAGGAAACGCATCAAACAAGCCATGCAACAATTTCAATATCCAATCCCTGAGCAATCATATTACACTTGAGATACTACAAAAACTTCTCCATCCATGAAAACAGCCATGTAATAACTACAGGAACTGCTTCAATTCAACTTGGGGGATACTTTGGCAATTCCTGAAATTGATTGCTATAGATAGACCATTAATGTGCACCTGCACTCTTTTGTAGCATTGCAACAACAAATACAAGTTTCAAGCAATATTGCTTGAGTTGAGCGTGTATGGTTAAAGGACAACTAGCTATAACATCTGACTAAGCATCTCCACTGAAAAAGTTCTAGATGAAACCCACAGGACCCAGCTCACTTCTTCTCAAACTTAATTAACAACTTGGCAATTAGCATGGCAGACTAATATCAATTGGACCCAAAAGGTACAGAAACACTCCTTTTTACAAAATGAAAAAAAAAAAGAAAAAAAGAGGCATTTAAAATGTAAAGCCACAAATAAACAAAAACAGGGGAGAGAGAAAAAAATCATCCAAGTAGAGTCTAACAAAACTTGAAAGTTAAGCAATTACAGTCCATGAAGGTTGCAAGTATGATTGAATTGGGAAAGAACCAAAAACTGACTGAACTTTAACAATCATGATTGTAGAGAAAAAAATCAAACTATATTAAGAAGCCAAATAAAATGACATCTAGTTTCTATTGCTATTGTTTCTAGGGAAGAATTCTCATGGATTATCTACAACAAAAATCCACAACCATTCAACACCAGCGCAGATGCCTACTTTGCCAAAGTAAATCATTGGAACACCACAACAAGGCAAGCAAAAGATAACATTGCAGCAAAGTTGATATTCACACAAGACATAAACATACTTAATATAAAATCCTTATAACAAGTGATATTAGACTTCATAATACAACACAAATTTTTGTCCATCAAAACAACCACAATCTCTATCTAGCCAAAGCAACTCAACTCTTGGCTACCAACCACGCACCAATGAACTGAAAATCAAGGGTAATGAAAACAAGTATTATGCAAGTCAAAATAATTCAGCAATTCATGAAATTTATGATTCCAGAGAGAACATCAAGCACAACACAGCTAAGCTTTTTTTTTCATATTATTGAATCAACAATTATCAACCTATTAAAAAGTTATATTAAACCATCGGATTTCAATCAATGACCCTTGTAAGACTTTTCGTATTTCAACCTATTCATTTTAATCCAATTTATAACAATAAGAAGAAAGGGCAAAAATTGAAAGAACTAATTCCTTGCTTGAAATAAAAGTTTACTACTTTCTTCTCTTTCACTAATCTAATCACAAAATATAAAACACCCCCAGAACAATTTTGCAACTATAATCAAACTCTATCCAATTCAATTAACTCAATGCTTAATTACTTAATGAAGCAATCACAATTTAACATCATTTGGAGCCCACAAAAAAAAAACAAAATAAACACAAAAAACTAAAATTTAAAAACAAACAAATGAAAAATAGAAGAAACCCTTAATAAAATTACCTGAGTAGAAACAAGAAGTTCACTAGTAACTTTAAACTTCCTGAGCTGTTTCAGCGAATCAACACACCGAGTCACCTCCGGTCCACTAGACGATACGTCATCATTGAGAGAAGCATCCGCAGCTTTCTTTGCTTCATCAAATAACTCCACAAACTCCATCTCCATTATTGATTGATTCCCTGAAAACACAAAAAAATAATTAAAAAAAAAAGATTCGAGCTTTACGAATTTTTTTATAAAAAAAATTGTATAAAATTGACAGGTAGGTGAGATTGCAACCCAAGAAAAAAAATTGGAGAGATCTGAAGAGGGAAAAAATAGATCTTTGCACAATAACAGAATAAACGGATCTAGAAAGGTAGGTTTTTGATAGTATTTCCGGCAGGTGTAATTTAGAGAAGCCCTCCCTTGCCTGTCTCCAGAAGCCTTGGTTTTGGGGTTTGAAGATTTCTCTGCTCCTTTGCTAAGGTTATTTTGCCAAGTGTGTGTTTTGGGGCGTGGTGAGCTGTTGTTAGGTTTTTTTTTGGTGGAAAAAGAAAAGAAAAGAAAAAACAGAAAAGAGTATGTATTTTTAGTTTACAGTAGTTTGTGGTTGGGGTTTAAGGTTATTGTAATTAAAAAAAATAAACTTTACATTATCGTACTTCAATTCCAAATATTGGCGATTGAAAAATAGAGATGATAGAGACAAAATGGGGGGAAAATTGGAATAGAATTGTTATTGATTACGGTATATAAAATAAAATATAATATAAAAAAGTTTATTATTATATGTTGTTGTAAAATTTATATATTTTAAAAAATAATTAAGTTTTTTTTTATTTTAATTTATATTAAATGTTAAAATTAATAATATTATAATAACTCTAGTTATAAAACTAGAACTAACTTAACAAGTGGATCCAAAACCGGATTAACCTGGGGCATGAATTGATTTTGATTTAAAAAAAAATAAAAAAAAAATAACTTGATTAGAATCTACAAGAGATCTAAGTTAACTCGGTAGGAAATGCAAGTTAAAAATCCACCAACTTATTATTTAAAAAAATGGTTATAGTAAGATTACTTTGATTATTAAAAAAAAAAAGGTCAACCAGGTTGATCTTTTTAACCTATGATTTGAACCTTGCCTCAAGTCAACTTTCAAATCGAGTTTTAAAACTATAATAATAATTATTTTTATTTATATGTTGACTTCGGTCAACCCGTATTGACCTTTCTAACCCATGATTTGCATCTTGCCTTAATCGATCCTCAAATCAAGTTTTTAAATTATAATAATAAAAAAATTTATCCTTATATTGACTCAAGTCAGCCTAAGCTGACCCTCTTGATCCATGACTTAGGCTACCTATTTTTTCCTTACATTAACATGATTCAACAGTCAGCCTCACTCATGACTCAGGTCTTGATCAACTCGACCCCCTCCCCTAGTCTCAATTAGTGAGTTGGGTTTTGCCTTCAATTAATCCCTGAGTTAGGTTTAAAAATTATGATAATAATTATTATTATCTTTACATATCTTAATTAGATAATTTTGAAATTGAGATATTTTTACAATGATATTTTAAAAATAAAAAATAAAAAATATTATTTCTAAAGATATGTTCCTTTTATACCTATTGTTTTAAAAGCACAAATATTGATTCCGAAATTGTCTTAAATAAATATTTATTTTTATGTCTTTATCTTTGTGTTTGTCTCCTTAATCAAATATATTTTTATTTTCATTATCTTCATCCCTTTTATCCCAAGATAGTAACCAAACGATACTTAAATGTATTACTTTTGAGAATTTATAATTTGATAACGTATTAAAAGGTATTTTTTAAAAGTGTTTTTTAATTTAAAATTATTAAAATAATATTTTACAATTTTTTTTAATAATAGTATGTTAAAATTATCAAAAAAACACCTAAAAGCATCAATTTAATGTTTTTAATTAAAAAAACAATTTAAAAGTACTTTAAAAAACAGAAGCTCCTGCAATGCTAAGCTAGCACTGACTTGTTTTAAGCTTGACTCATTTAATTTTTTTAATAAATTAATAAAAAAATTAAATTTAGAATAATGTTTTTTTATTTTTTTTATTTTGAATTTTTTTCAATCAATGCTTTTTTTTAGATTCATTATTCAAGATTAAATTATTTTTTATATCAATGCTTTTTTTTAGATTCATTATTCGAGATTAAATTATTTTTTATTGGGTTGGCTTGTCTTATTCTTATGACACAGTTCAAAGGTTTAGTTGGTTAACTTAACCGACTCAAGGTTTTTTTTTTACTGACTTCTCTCATCTAATTCCATTATTTAATATTGGATTGATTGAGAATTAAACTTCATAATATGTTTCAGTTTGCTTTTTATTAGTTTATCTCAACCTTATGACCCGAGAATAATGCTTAGCGAGTTAACACGAGTTGACTCAAGTTGTTTTTGTGTTCTTTTTTTAATTGATTTTTTTTCAATTTCATCATTCAAAGTTAGGTCAATTGAGAATTGAAATTTATAATTTATTTTGATTTAATTTCTATAGAGTTATCTAAGTCTCTTGACTAAAGTTGCTAATTTGATAGGTTAACTTGGGTTATTGTTTATTTTTTTTATATGAAGTTATCTCAGTCTCATGACCTAGATCATGGTTCCTTCAATATTGAATTTGCTTTTTTATTGGGTTGTCTTGATTTCATGATCTACATCACTAGTTTGGTGAATTAACTCAGTTGACTTGGTTTTTTTTCTTAATTAACTCCCTCTAGTTTCATCTTTAAATATTGGGTTAATTAAGAATTAGATTTGATGATTTATTTTGTTTTACTTTTTATTAAGTTATTCTGACCTCATGACTTGGGAATAATATCTAGCATGTTAACTTGGGTTGATTGATGTTATTTTTGGGTCATTTTTTAATTATTATTTTTTTTAAATTTCATCATTTAATATTGGTTCAGTTAGGGATTGAAACTTTATAATTTGTTCTATTTTAATTTATATGGGGTTAATTTAGTGGGTTTGATAGGTTATCTCGAGTTAAATTGGATTTTCTTTTCAATAAGGTTATTTTAGTCTTGTAACCCAAGTCACAAGTTTGCTCATAGTGACTCATGTCATTTTTTGTGTTCTTTTTTTAATCATATCTTTCAATACTAGGCTAATTAGGAGATGGACTCTATAATTTAAATTTTGATTCGGTTTCTATGAGGTTATCTTAGTCTTATAACCCAGGTCGTAGATTTGGCATGTTAACTCGGGTCTTTTTTAGATCTTTTTTTTTAATTTTATCATTCAATATTGGGTTGACTAGGAATTAGGCTTCATGATTTTTTTTTATTTGCTTTATGTGGGTTATCATAGTCTCATAACCCAAGTTGACACAAGTTGATTCAATACATTATCATCTTAATATTAAAAACAAATGTCTGCTTGAATTTTTTTAGTTAAATTGTATTTTTAGTGGTTGTTTGAGTTGTTGTTAGACCCACTAAGTGAATTGGGTTATATTAAGTCAACATCCGCACAATTTAATTTTTGTTTTCACTAGAAAAAAGCATTAACAACATCTAAATATTTTGTTTTACATTCTATTTTTGTTTATTTGACTCGTAGCATAACACATCTTAATTATCTAGTATAAACTAGATAAAGGTCCATATAATGATGCAGGTTCGTGTTATTTTTTCCATAAAATAATTAGTTCTTGAAAGCATGTTTGAAAGAAAAAGGAAAAATCTAATAACCGAGGTTATATTCCTAACTAGCAAAATAAGTTGGTTTTATTTGAATAAAATAGGGGGGAAAAGGTATTGATAGCTAGCAAACAAAAAATAAAGTCTATGATAACTAAGAAAAAAATTTATCCAAGAGTGGAAAATAATGGTGTTCAATATTTAGCTAATTAAATATGGAAGAATAAAACAAGGTAAAAAATGAACAAAAAACACAATGTGAGTTAACCTAAACTAGCATAAAAAATATGTAATTCAGGAATTAAAGGGTAAGTCAGTCCATATTTACCCATCAAATTTGCATTCTAAATTATGATATCAGGATAATTCAATATAAAAGAAATTATAAAAAAACCACAAAGCTTGTTTTTTTTTTTTTAAAAAAAAGAAAGAAATGTTGAACGACAAAATTAGAAAAATAAATAAGTTAAAAAATAAAAAACAAAAAAAAGGATGCAAACTCCTATTAGCTTTTAAAATCTGTGACTCGAGTCATTAGACTAAAAGTATCATCTATAGAAAAACCGTAAAGCTCATTTCCCAAAAAATGAAACACGGAATGACAAAACCAGAAAAACAAATTACATAAGAAAATCAAAATTAAAAATAACATTAGAAGAATGAGGGTTAAAATAATAAAAAAAATCATAGGACAATAAGGTTTTTTTTTCAAATTAAGGGTTAAATTGTAAGGAATAATAATATTTAAAAAAGGGATAAAAAAATCAAAAGAATCATGACCAAATTATAAAAAATAATATAACATAAATTAAAATTGAATAATAAAATTGAAAACAATAAAACTATACTAGTATAATGAATAGTGATTTGAGTGTGAATGTATAATAGAAAAAGCCTTGTGTTTTAGATTTTTTTTTTACTAAATTATTGACTCGCGCCACGTTGTGAGTCAAATCAAATTTTTCTTGAATGTCAAAAAAATATTCAAATGTTGCATTTTTTTTTTCTAGTGAAAACAAAATTTAAATATTGTGGGGGTTGACATGATGTAACTCAGTTGGCTTTATGAGTCCAAAAGCAATCTATACAACATGTAAAAACATAGTTTGACAAAAAATATTCAAGATAACATCTTTTTTTTTTTTAATATTAAGATAACAACATAATATATTGACTGGGGTCAACTTGGGTGTCAAATCTGCGACCCAGGTTCTCAGACTATAATAACCCCATAAAAAGGAAATCAAAATAAATTATGAAGTATAATTTCTAATTGACCTAATATTAAAGGATGAAATTGAGAAAAGAATGAATTAAAAAGGACCTGAAAAAGTGATATGAGTTAACCTATCAAACGCATGACTCAAGTAATAAGATTAAGATAATCTCATGCAAAGCAAATAGAGACAAATTATAAATTTCTATCTCCAATTAGCCCAATAGTAAAGGATATGATTAAAAAATTAACATAAAAACTATGTAAGTCAATTTGCCAAACTTATAACTTGGGTTATCAGATTAAAATAACCTCATAAAAAAAGACCTAATTTAACCTGGAATAACCTGATAAATTCATGATTTTGATAATGAGACTGAGATAACCACATAGAGAGCAAATCAAAATAAATTATAAAACTCAATTTCTAATCGTCCATGTCAAACCTAATGTTGAAAACAATATCTGTTTCACTTGCTTTTTTAACATTATTATGGTACACTCCATAGTTGTTTATAGAGTGTTTGGAAATGTAGTAGTGGTTGATTTTCAAAGTGTTTTACACTTGAAAATACATCAAAATAATATTTTTTATTTTAAAAAAATTATTTTTGACATTAACAAATTAAAATGATATAAAAACACATAAAAAATATTAA